ATTCAGAGAAATATTTGCTTAATATTTTTTTTTTATTTTCAATTTCCACCTTTTTACATATAGTTAATTGGTTAACTCTCCAAATTACCATGCCAATTAATTTTGTGTTCTTGTTAATATAAATTGATTTTAATTATTAAAACTATGTGTACTGGTAATATCTATTAGAGTATCACAGCAAAATAAGTATTTTATTCATCTTCTGATGAAGTAATGCTACATGTAATAAAAATCACAATAAATTTTGTAAAGATGATCAAAATTATTGTTGCTCTGAAGTTAACATTTTTTGTAAAGTATTTTCAGATTTTGTAAAATGCTGAAATTGCTTTCTGATTGTATTATACAATTTTATATTTTCAGATAATAATTATCAGGAGGATTTGATAATTATATTTAATTAATTCATCGAGTCTGATAGAAACCTCAACAGAATGCAGAAAGCACTGGACGGCCGTTTCGTCATATATTTGGGACTCATTAAATTTGCCTTGATAAAGTCTATTAGAGGACGAAACGCGTCGGCTAAGAAAAGCATTTCCTGTTGTCTTCTTATTCATTTTGTTCTTATATATATATATATATATATATATATATATATATATATATATATGTGTGTGTGTGTGTGTGTGTGTGTGTGTGTATAATTATTTATTTAAAATATGATTCCATCGCTACATAAGAGTTCTCATGTTTCAAAACAAGAGCCGAAAACTTCAATATAATTATTTGAATTAAATTGAATTAAAGTACCAAGCTCTGTTCCATCTTAAAGCGAAATTTTTTTGGGAATAACTAATTCTTGAAATTTACGCGTTTTATAAGCATATTCATATTTAAATTAAAATTATCATGGTAACGGCTAGAGTGAACGTAATGGATTCGACTGGAATTCGAACTCGGCTATCCGATTCCTCAATCCGAGCCACTAATCATTATTCCAACGTGCAAAGTATCTATAAATGACTATATAAAAAAATGTCGTTAGCAATTAGAATAATTTAGAAACACTATATTATATTTATATGGTCAACTGAAAAATTACGTTAATTATTTATAGAACAATTATATTAATTATTTATAGATATTTTGTGCCAATAAATTCATTCCTTCATATGTCCAAAACTCCGCCCACTTCGTGGAAATAATCAAAGATGCTCCCATCCTATCCAACCAGATGGTGAGCTTGGATGTGGTGAGTTTGTTCATCAAGGTATCCACGGAGGAGGTACTATCAATAGTCAGAGACAGATTGGCCTCCGAATTAACCCTTAGGAGAACCGACCCGTATTCCAATAGATAATCTGATGGAGATATTGACTTTCGGTACACAAACAACACACTTCGAAATGAGATCACACATATATCGACAGGACGAGGGCTTAGCAATGGGCTTGCCATTATCACCAGCAATGGCGAATATATACATGGAATACTTTGAGGAAATGGCATTAGAATCTCTAAAGCCAACTCTATGGTTAAGGTACGTAGATGACACCTTCATACTCTGGCCACACCAGGAAGATGTTCAGGTTCGATACAGTTCACGATGGAGAAAGAGAGTAACAGCACACTCCCATTCCTGGATGTTCTAATATCTCGAACAGAGCATGGGTTTAAGACATCCGTATACCGTAAACCGACATTCACCGGACAGTACCTCAATTTTAAACTCCCACCATCCATACAGCGGAATGAAAGGGATCATCCGTTTTTACAACACCGAGAAAACGTCATAAGTGGCGACTCAGAGACATTAGATGAAGAATTGGTCAGTATAAGTAGTACCCTGCAACGTAGCAACTACCCTGGGTACATGTCAGCAGCCTCCCAAAACTCAGAAAACAGTCTGCCTGCCTTATGTGAAGGGGTTATCAGAGAAAATACAAACGATCTGCGGTCCATATAACATCAGGACAACCTTCAAAAGCTGGACGACACTTCGTAGATATCTCTCCCGAGTAAGACCCCCCCCCCCCATAGAGGAGAACATGACTAAAGACTATGTGTACGCTATCCCGTGCAACCCCGGAAAGAAATATAAAGGGGGGGGAGGCTGCCCTCTTAAGGTAAGGCTTCACGAAGACAAGAAAGCTGTAACACGAGGGGAAGTGGAAAAATTAGGCGTGGCTGACAACTTATGGAGAGAGAAGGGAGATCACGGCCCTCTGTGGGATCAGGTTGAGATCAGAGACAAAGAACACCATTGGAAAATTCGTAAAATTAAGGAATCAGCACATATGCTAGGCCACAAAAATCTCCTGAGCCGACCAAGCATAGAAATGAATACAATATGGGAACCAGTAATAAGGAGTTCTAGAGAAAAGCAATAATAACAAAATTGCAATATGAGATCTGGTTAAGTTAACATCCAATGATAACAGCAAAAATTGCAATATGAGAACTGGTAAAAAATGATTGCTGATGACATTAGGTTTATAATACCCAGAAATTCATACCCAGATATCCTCAATGACACATGGCACAGTGGATAAAGGCGTTAGTTAGATCCAGTGACAGGACCCCAAAAGAGTGTGAATTCAATACCCAGTTAAGGCAGTGGAGAACTTGGAGAGGGGAATTAACAGGAGATAACTGATAATTGACATCTATTAAAAATGGCACGTGGAACTAGAGCAGTCTACTCCAGTGAGCAAAATAAAGGGTTCAGTTCGACATTCCAAGAAGGCCGGATCCTTATATATATTTTAAAATTTGATGTCATTACATTTTAACAGTAGAGCCCGGCGTTGCAACAGTAAGAGATAGATCAAGTATCGACCATAATAAAGACTGAAAAATAAAAATTGACAAAGATTATTGTTTAAGGTTGACAAAAAAAAAAAACCCAAAAAAACCCCAAAAAACTCATTAATTAGTTTTTTATTTTTTTTTTTTTTTTACGAATTGGTCAAACCCAAACTCAAACAAAAACATTGTTTTCAATCGTTATGAGTCTACCGATTGAATAGAATTTTATTATAAACAATTGTCTTGTAAATGGAATTTTAAAAGCATTCTGAATGTAAAAATAAAGAAAAAAGTGTGCAAGACAATAAGAAACACTACCTGTCAAAAAAAGTGAAATTTTGTTGAACTCGGTTGAAAAATGTAGGAAATCCGATCCCATATATAAACGAACACACACACACACACACACACACACACACACACACACACACACACACACACACACAACCTGGGTTTTATAATAAGCATAACTCGATAACTCGATATTAATAAGTATAACTCGATATGAGTTGTCCCCCTTTCATTAATGCCTCTTAATAGTGTTTTCAAATTGATTTCATGCAAAAACAATTGTGTTTTTCCAATTTTGGGCGCTGTCAGAACCACCACAAGGTAATTTTATGTAGTCCTGTGAAGTTTTGTTGAAATCGGTTGAAAAATGTAGGAAATCCGATCCCATATATAAACGAACACACACACACACACACACACACACACACACACACACACACACACACACACACAATCTGCGTTTTATAATAAGTAAGATGTTTGCCAAAATTACACAAAAACATGTTAAAATATTAAAGAGTAAATTTATTCAATGACATCGCCATTGGCTCCAACCAGGATCTCCAGTCGACTTTAGAATCTCCTTGTTTAAGTTGGTGAATGCTGCCATAATCCTTGACTTCAGTTCATCTTTGGTGTTAAATTGTGTTTTGTTGATCTCTCGCTCAACTGCGCTTCACACATAATAATCAAGTGGGGGCTGCAGTCTGGGGAGTTATGTGGCCAGATGTAATGGGTGATGTGGTCGCAGAAATGACAAGGTTCTACTGCTAGTGTGGCATGGTGCAGTGTCCTTTTGCCAGACATATGTTCTTCTAGCAGCCGCTCTCTTGATCCAGGGCAGCACTACCTAAACAAGGCACTTGAGACCCACACCAACAATTTCGGGAACGATCTGAGTGAGTTCTCCGAGCTGCTGTACCTTCGTAATCACCATTAGAATCATATAACTCTTTGCGTAGCCTCTGCACTGTCCTCATATTGAAGCCCAAAGACTCTGAACTGTTTGTATTTGAGGTTCCGGTGCGAATGCCAAGCAGTATAGCGTCATGGTGCTCTATTTCTCACAAGCGGTGCCCAACTGACAGTTTACCCATCGCACAATGCACACACACACACACACACACACACACACACACACATAATCATATTTGCTCTATTCTATATTGAAGACCTCATTTAGGAATAGTATGTTTTGGTTATTGGAATTTATATATATATATATATATATATATATATATATATATATATATATATATCAAAGTGTAGGATTGGTGTATACGGAAAAGATTCCAATGCCAAAACATACTATATATATATATATATATATATATATATATATATATATATATATATATATATATGTCAAGAAAAATATGGGGGGGATTTTTATAACAAAGTGGAAAAATTTACTTGTGACGCGTCTTGTCTTTCAGGATTTTATCGGCCGAAATTTGTTGTTTCGTGCGATTACACATGCGCACGAACGAGGGATGCTGGGAATTTGATTTTTTTTTTCTTTAGAGTTTTCTTTTTATCTAGTCGAATTCCTTTACAGTCTTTTTCTTTTTCTTTCCATCCTTTTGTCATGCATTCATACACACACACGCACACGCATACACACACACACACACAAACACAGACACACACACACACATATATATCGATAACACATAGATATGTTATATTAATATAATTCAAGTAATATATCTTGTTTTGTCTTTGACGTCGGAATTTTTCAAAACCTTTAAAAACAACAATTTAGAAATAGACAGAATGATTTATTTAAAAGACCACTAATGATTGAAACACAAACTAATGGGAAGCTGACATTACAATGTAATATATAATTGGCTTTATCATTCAAGTTTTAATGAAAATGTTTCTTTTTAGAAATTCATTTTAAATGATATTATTGAAGAACATTTCAGCAAATTGATGGAGAAACGCTCGGAAACTTACCTCTTTCTCTTAAAGGAAGAGTAGTGTAATGGAAGGGAAATGTAATGGAAGGGAAGTGTAACGGAGGAGAATTGTAATGAAGAGAACTGTAAAGGAAGAAAAGTGTATAGGAAAGTGAAGTAAAAAGGAAGAGAAGTGGAAAAGTGGAAACGAAGAGAATTATAATGTAGAAGTGTAAAGGGAGAGATCTGTAAAGAAAGAGAAGTGTAAATGAAGAAAATTTTGAAGGAAGAAAACGGTAAAGGAAGCGAAGAGTAAAAAAGAAAAGTGGAAATAAAGAGAAGCGTAAAAGAAGAGAACTGTAAAGGAAGAGAAGTGTAAAGGAAGAGAAATGGAAATGAAAAGTAGGGAAGACGTGAACTGTAAAGGAAAATAAGCGTAAAGGAAGAGAGCTGTAAAATAAGAGAAGTATATATTAAGAGAAGTGTAAAAGAAGAGAACTGTAAAGGAAGATAAGTTAAAAGATGTGTAAAGTAAGAGAAGTGTAATAGAAGGGAAGTGTAACAGAAGGGAAGTGTAATAGGAGAAAACTGTAAATGAAGAGAAGTGTAAAGGAAATGAAGTATAAAGCAAGAGAAGTGGACAGAAGATAAGTGCCAAATGAAGAGAAGTATAAAGTAGGAGAAGTGTAAAGGAAGAGAACTATAAATAGAAAGAAGTGTAAATGAAGAGAATTGTAAAGGAAGAGAAGTTGAAATGAAGAGAAGTGTAAAGGAAGAGAAGTGTAAAAGAAGAGAAGCGTAAAGGAAGGCAACTGTAAAGGAAGGGAGGGGTAAAGGAAGAGAAGTTAAAAGAACTGTAAAGTAAGAGAATTGTAGCGGAAATGAAAAGTAGGAAGGAAGAGAACTGTAAAGGAAAAGAAGTGTAAAGGGAGAGAACTGTAAAAGAAGGAAAGTATAAAAGAAGAGAACTGTAAAGGGAGAGAAGTTAAATGAAGTGTAACGGAAGAGAAGTTAAATGAAGTGTAATGTAAGAGAACTGTAAAGGAAGAGAAGGTACAAGCGACATTCAATGGTAACAATGGTTGACTTATTGCAGTTTCGTTTTGCGAAAGAACTTTCTTGTATTCTTCCTTTCGTTGTTAGTTTTTTCGTTTGTTTTTTTCATGAATTTTTCTTTGGATCTTTTTGCTTTTGTCCTCCTGAAAACTTCATTGAATTGTTTCTTTAATTTTTTTTCTTTTTGTCTACTTTTCTGTCTTTCTTTTTTTTTTCTTTTTTCCAAACTTTTTACCTTCCCTTTCTATTTTTTAGATGTTTTACGTTTCTTTCTTTACTTCTTTCTTTCTTTAAGACATTTCTTATCTTTCTTACTGACTACCTTGCTATGTTTACTGCGTTCATTCTTGCTTATTTTCACTCTTTTTGCAGTTCTTTTTTATGTCATTATTTCTTTAAGACTTTTATTCTCTCTTATATTTTAGACATTCTTTCTTTCATTCTTTCTTTCTTTTTCTTTCTTTTTACCTGTCCATTTACTTTTTAGGCTTTTTAACTTTCTTTCTTTCAGACATTTTGTTTCTTTTACTTCAAATAATTTTCTTTTCTTTCAAATTCCATCAATCTGCTCTTTACCCTTATTATCCTTGATTTCCCTTTCTTTCTTTTCCTTTTCTTTCTTTCTTTCTTTCTTCATTTCTTTTTCCTTCATTTTATCTACCGATTTTCCTTAAGTTCTTTACCCTTACATTTAATCGCCATTTAACCCTTTCTTTCTTTCTTTTTCTTTCTTTCTTTCTTTCTTTCTTTCTTTCTTTCTTTCTTTCTTTTCTTTTACTTCAAATAATTTTCTTTTCTTTCAAATTCCATCAATTTGCTCTTTACACTTATTATCCTTGATTTAATTTAACCAACTTTGCAGCCATCTTCCTTCTTTCCTGTTCAGCCCTTTCGATCAATGAAGCCTCCTTCTCTTGAATATCCTCGATGAAATAAGCTTTTATATTTTAGACATTCTTTCTTTCATTCTTTCTTTCTTTTTACCTGTCCATTTATTTTTTAGACTTTTTTTTTTTAAATTTTCTTTCTTTCTTTTAGACTTTTTCTTTTATTTTTCTTTACTTCTTTCTGCCATTCTTCCTTTCACATTTTTTGCCATTCTTCCTTTCACATTTTCTGCCATTCTTCCTTTCACATTTTTTGCCATTCTTCCTTTCACATTTTCTGCCATTCTTCCTTTCACATTTTCTGCCACTCTTTCTTTCACATTTTTTGCCATTCTTTCTTTCACATTTTCTGCCACTCTTTCTTTCACATTTTCTGCCATTCTTCCTTTCTTTATTTATTTGAGATTTTTAATCTGTCTTTTATATTTTGTAATTTTATGCCACTTTTTTTTTTTTCTGTTTTTTTTTAGCCATTTTTATCTTCCTTTCTTTTTTTCTTTATTTGCAGATTTTTTAATCTGTCTTTTATATTTTGTAATTTTATTCTTTTTTCTTTCTTTTTATCTGTTTATTTTTTTAGACTTTTTATCTTTCTTTATTCCTTTTTTCTTTCTTTTTGCAGATTTCTTATCTTTCTTTTTCTTTCTGATTATATTTCTTTCTTTATTTCATTCCTTCTTTCTTTTAAACTTTTTTTTACCTTTCTTTCTTTTAGAATTTTGAAATTTCATTCTTTCCTTCCACTTTTTTCTGCTTTTTCTTCATTTCTTTTTCTTTCATTTTATCTGTCGACTTTCTTCTCCCTCGATTTCACTTCCTTTTCCTTCTTTCTTCCTTTCTTTCTTTTTTCTTTTTTCTTTCTTTCTTTTTTATTCTTCAAATAATTTTCTTTTCTTTCCAATTCCATCAATCTGCTCTTTACCCTTATTATCCTTGATTTCCCTTTCTTTCTTTCTTCCTTTCTTTCTTTCGTTTCTTTCTTTCTTTCTTTCAAATTCCATCAATCTGCTCTTTACCCTTATTATCCTTGATTTCCCTTTCTTTCTTTCTTCCTTTCTTTCTTTCGTTTCTTTCTTTCTTTCTTTCTTTCTTTCTTTCTTTCTTTCAAATTCCATCAATCTGCTCTTTACCCTTATTATCCTTGATTTCCCTTTCTTTCTTTCTTTCCTTTCTTTCTTTCGTTTCTGTCTTTCTTTCTTTCTTTCAAATTCCATCAATCTGCTCTTTACCCTTATTATCCTTGATTTCCCTTTCTTTCTTTCCTTCTTTCTTTCCTTCTTTCTTTCTTTCTTTCTTTCGTTTCTGTCTTTCTTTCTTTCTTTCAAATTCCATCAATCTGCTCTTTACCCTTATTATCCTTGATTTCCCTTTCTTTCTTTCTTTCTTTCTTTCTTTCTTTCTTTCTTTCTTTCTTTCTTTCTCCTTCATTTTACTACCGATTTTCTTCCTCGATTTTCCTTAAGTTCTTTATCCTTACATTTAATCGCCTTTTAACTCTTTCTTTCTTTCTTTCTTTCTTTCTTTCTTTCTTTCTTTCATTTTTTCTTTCTTTCTTTCTTTTCTTTTCTTTCAAATTCCGTCAATCTGCTCTTTACTCTTATTATCCTTGATTTCCCTTTCCAATTTAACCAACTTTGGAGCCATCTTCCTTCTTTCCTGTTCAACCCTTTCGATCACTGAAGCCTCCTTCTCTTGAATATACTCGATGAAATAAGCTGTCCTAAAATGCCTTTTCTGGTTTGGAGTTGGGAGGCATAATTTGACAACTTAACTGCAAAATACACTGAACATTTCTTATTGCCGACATTAAACGAAGAACGCTGCTGTCACTACGACTGCAGCATAGTAATATAAACGAGAAGGAAATAAAAAAAGAAAATGTCCGCCTACTGGTTATTAAATATCTCGAATGCGCATGACATAAATTACTGACGGGAAGGCATTTACAGCGTTGATCATTTTTGCATGAAAATGCGGTCGACTTAACAGTTTATTCGATTTCATTTTAATTCTAGGAATTCAAATTCCTTATTTCGCGATTATTTTCATATTGATCAACTTAGTTGCTTTTTTTTTATTTATTTTGTCTAATTTCCTTTCCATTTATTATAGACATTTTGAATTATTTACTTTTGTGTTTCTCTTACGAGTGATTATTAATATTTGATCATGAAATAAACAAAGTAAAAGTGAACACTTCTTCCGTTCTGTTCTCAACATTGTCTTTTTTTCTTTTTATTTTCTTTTTTTGAAACGGAAATCCTGCAATTGGGTTCGAAGACACTGATGGCCACAGATTTTTTTTTCTTAAAGAAATATAAATATAAAAGAATACATTTCAAATATTTTCTTGATAATTTGAATATTTTTCAACAAATTTATGCATCAATAAATATGCTCGTGTGCGCGTGTATTTAATTCGGTTGAACATTAGCATATTTATTAAGTCATATTATGCCGGATATTTATTATATATATATATATATATATATATATATATATATATATATATATATATATATATATATATATGTGTGTGTGTGTGTGTGTGTGTGTATTTAGGCAGCAATCCTTCTTTCATGCATATTTCGTTGAATACGACAGACAAGGTGCTTTTATTTAGTTTTTTTTTTACAATTTCTCATGCGATCTAATAATTTTTTTTTCTTTTCGGATGATAAATTATATAAAAACTGTCTTAATGTTCTTTTTATCCGAGCGCTTTCGGCTATACGTTTAGCCATTTTCAAGGATTAAATATTTTAACTATTAAATAAGAAATAGTTTGTTGTATGTATGTTTTATAAAATGTTTTCATTTTTCAAAACACAGTCAAGATATTGTGTCCATGTTCAAAGTTAATATTATTAAGTTTTTTTTTTTTTTTTTATTAATAAGGCATTCATTATTTTTAGCCATTTTTGCACGTTGATGATGCTATTATATTAGTGTTGTCAACAAGTATGTTACGAATAGTATCTGGTAGGTCTCCATGAATATTTAAATGAGATCTAATTGAGCTATGGTCAGAAAGGTGTAGAGTGAGTCTGCGTGTCAAACATGTTGTAGTGTGGCCTATAGAATTATTTAGGAATTTTGAGTGATCAGGAATACAATTCGTTAATGGGCATTTAAATTCGTAAATAATATTTGCCCTATTTGATTTTGTTCTAGGAGGTGAATTATTGTTTTAACTATAATGTTAGAGGTTTTAAATTTTTTGTAATAAATAATTAATCTAATTTTTTTGCTATTGTCAATTGGTGTTATGCATTTATATATATGATGGACTCTCGCATCGAGTTCGACGTATGAGGTTCCGATGACCACGAACTAATTATCTGCATGCCTATGACGAACATAACTTTTGAGACCGGTTCGAGAATTGCACAAAAGGCCACAATCAGTACAGGAGAATGTATTGCATCCAAGTGCAGTAGGAACACTATTAGATGTCTTATTTTGCTTTCTCGTTTTATGTAGTCGACTGATGGTTACTTCTTAGTGCAGCTATATCAATGTTGTACTTCTTTAGCTTTAATGCGACCAGAGCTGTTTTTCTTTCTGGTGCTGAGTTGTTGTCCTGGAGAGTTCGTACATTCCAAGTGCCAAGATGAAGTTGATGTTGTTTCGTAGAGTTTTTCACAGTAGCCGAATATGTGTGGAACTAATTAGATGTAGTTGTCAGAAAACCAAGACAATGATTTGCTTCAAGTGGTGAAGGCTTGTGTCGGACCATCCACACTTTTTGGCTCTGTAGATAAAAAAGGTAACGGTGCAAAAGACTTGCCACGGAAACTCCGAACAACAGTCCTCATGTGTTATTATTATTATTATTAAACTCCGCGATATATATATATATATATATATATATATATATATATATATATATATATATATATGAGTGAAAGAACAGATGGAGTAAAATTCCACTGTTCGTAGCATTTACTTTTGAAAAGTGCTCAATACCAAGTAGTGCTATATATTATTATTATTGAGATCGCTGCATAAAAGATTTCCTGTTTCAATACTCTGATTGTACTTCTTCAGGCGATGGTAAGTAACTGGTGATTGAATGATTTTTAAGAAAATTTGTGTGTGTGTGTGTCTGTGTGTTTCATTGAATAATCTACAAATATTGTGTCTACTTATGTTTATATTGACCTTTTCCAGTTCTTTAATCAGTTTATTGATCTCAAGATGAAATTCATCAAGGAAGGCGCCGTAGTACACCACGAAAATAATAAAGAAAAACTTCAAATTCTCGAGGCTCTCTATATCAAAATTAACTAACATTCAACAAAATTTATTACGTATTTAGCAGCAAGGTATTGAAGTACATAAAATAAACATCTAATGTCTTTTTGCATTTATAACAATTTCCGGTCAGCGCCCCTTATATTCCAACGTTTGTTTTGCAAAAAAATTCCATAGTTACAACGGATGAAATTTAAATTTAAAAATAACGGAGTGCGTTGGGGCGTGTTTTTAAAAATTACCATCACAACGGAATGAAGATTTTATCACAGTTACCCATGAAGATGATCTTGGAAAAGATCGAAAGTACTTAGGCTATGAAATAAATTACGACGGCTTCCTTGTTGAATTTCATCTTAACATCATATATATATATATATATATATATATATAGAGAGAGAGAGAGAGAGAGAGAAATGTTTATCAATCTAACATTTTTAACTTTAATTAAAGCTTTATCAGAGAATGAGAGGTAGAAAAAGAAGAAAAAATTCTGGTATTTTTACTTTTGTGTCGCTTTTCATTGGTTA